TCAGCGTGTGGCTGTTTCTTATGAGCGTGAGGCGCCTTTTGTCTTCGTCCTCTGCATCGGTTGCAGCTCGGAGCTGACAAAGTCCGACCAAAACCCCCCAAAAACATGGCGGACGACCACATTGGGCTGATGGCTGCTTTGTTTATGACTGTCCTGACCACTTTGCAGTTTTCTGGAATGCGGTATTCGAACAGAAGGCTTCTTTTAAATTTCTATGACAAAAACCCAAAAGCCATGAATGACTCAAGTTGTATTTGTGAAAGTCACGTTTTCAAATGTGAGTATTTTTCACTCGTTTAACTTAAATTTCCAAAATTTTTATCTTGGGAGAATTTCAATTTATTCTCATGAGAGGATTCATTTTTCATCCCAGAAATTCTGCTCTTGGAATTAATTTTTTGGGGTCTTGTACGACTTTAGTCGAATAACATGACAACTTTTTTTCTCTCAAAACAATATGATTTTCCCATGATAAGATTGAAAAAAATTTCTCGAAAATGGGCAACTTTTTGAATCCCGTGCTATTTAGGGTAATACATGGCAGTTATCATGAATTGGTGTTCGGATTGTGAATGGGGTCTTCAGAGAAATGCCTCCCCCACTGGACCCAGAAAGTTTCACAAGCCCCGCCAAAGCGAAATGAAATATACTGACTGGTGGAAGCAGATTGTCAGGAAAGGATCGAAGGAGTTCAAGACATGGTGAGGGCTGCCATCTCTTGACTTCCTCCATGTACGACGGGGATTCTGGTACCCCGTGATCCGCTTGCTACGCATTCATGTCATCGTATACGGTCAGTGATCCGCATCGTGTCTCCTGTCTCCTCCAGGATGTTTGGACCGGTTCTTCATCTGTCCGGCGTGGGCTCGGAAAGGCTATTGTGAAAGCAAGCGCAAGCTGATGCAGAAGCACTGCCCGTCCAGCTGTGATTTCTGTTACGGTAAGATAGCGACGGTCCAATTTGGACGGGAGAAAGTGTTTTCTCTGTCCATCGTTCCGAGGAGCCGCTGTGATCCATTTGCGAATGCGGCCGTCGCGAGCCAACAGTTCCAAACCAATAAAACACTGTCCTGCGTTCACGGTCCACATCGGTGGCAGCAGGCGGTCTGAAATGAACTTTTTGTGTACGTTTGCTACAGAATCGTGTCAGAGGGCCCCGCTTGCGCAACACCAAATGGCTCCTCCTACTTTGTTGTTGCTTTGCGAGGTTTCGACCGGCAGCAAAGGGGACAGAGCGAGGAGGAGGCAGGAGGATACGACTCCTTGGCTCGCTCTAATCTGTTCCTCATTGTTGATTGGGAGACGCCGTACGGCTGTGGAAAATTCCTGAGCCCCTCCAAACCGCTGGAATTTCAGACTGTGGCTCCAGGGTGAGAGACACAGCAGGTCAATTCGCATTTCTGTTTCATTAGTGAGAGCGACTCTTCTCCGAGCACACTTTCACTTGATAGCGAGGTTGGCCGCAGCTCAGAGGGAAGTTACGAAAGAGATATCAATGGTCAGTGTGATAAGTTAGGGGTGTGCGTCCCCACAATAAAAGACAATTCGATATGTATCGTGATACATGGGGTGCGGTACGATTCAAGAATGGTTCATCGTAAAGTAGAATGATGTACTGTATACCGTATTGGCCCGAATATAAGACGGTGTTTTTTGCATTGAAATAAGACTGAAAAAGTGGGGGTCGTCTTATATTCGGGGTCTAGACATTATACCCATTCACGACGCTAGATGGCGCCAGATACCATTGAAGCGAATGCTGAACTTGACTCCCCAGGCCAAAGCGAACCCCTGTCACGAAGAATAAAAATAAAAATAGCAGTAGCACGAAGAAGAAAAATAAAAAAATAGTGGTAAGAAAGAAAAGAGAAGAAAATAATAGAAGAGATAACAGAAAATGGAGAAACGTAGCGACAATCTGGAGAAAAGTGGGTCGAAGATCGGCCAGGTTAACCGGCAGCTGAGGAGAAGTTCTGATGTAATTTACATTTCAAAAACCAGAAGCCATTCATTTACGAATGTGATTGCACTTCAGTTTACGTATTTAAATGTTCAGATATTAAGATTTGAATGAGGCAAAATAACATGCTTTTTCTCTCAAATATATTGTTATAATCATTTGTTTCAGATGTACTGTAATTATTTTCTGTATAAAAATTAATTTGGTGTTCAAAAAGTCTTTTTTCCAACTTGAGTCTTGAAAAAGAGGGGGTCGTCTTATAATCAGGGCCATCTTATATTCGGGCCAATACGGTATATATGCGCGACACGGTGATGACTGGTTAGCACGTCGACCTCACAATGCAAAGGTCGTGTGTTCGATCCCGGTCATCCATGGCAGGTTAACAAAAGACTCAAAATTGTCCCTCGGTGTGATTGTGAGCGTGGATGGTTGTTCGTCTGTGTGTCTTGCGATTGGCTGGCGACCAGTTCAGGGTGTCCTCTGTCTACTGCCCGAAGACGGCTGGGATAGGCTCCAGCACACCCGCGACCCTCGTGGGGATAAGCGGATCAGAAAACGGATGGATAAACCAAGACAAAATAATTTTCGTACTCCTTATACCTTCTGTGTTTGATTGGTGATTTATCTTGTGGTTTTTCTGAAGCAAAATATGTGCCTTGGCTCAACAGGCTGGAAAACACCGATCTTATAATTATGCTCCCAAATAACAGCTCAAATTATAATAAGTCTTATGTGAACCAAAATGGTGGAACTGATTGGTTTTCCAAAGCAGATATCAGATGGACGGATGGTTTGCAAATCATTGCATTCTGTTTGTATTTGTTGAACTGATTCAAATCAGTTTTAATTGCACCCCGAAGGCTTGTATCTGATTTTCTGTGTTCGCTCATCTTTGTCAGCTGCACCAACAGACTTTGCCGCCATCTAATCCGAGCAGTCATACTTATTTGGAATTATCATTTAGAGCAGTATTAATTTGCCATTGCTTTACACTGGAATCTAGGTTAACATTTACGTTTGAAAAAATTAATAGGAACAACTACTTTTAAAATTATGTGGAAGGTGAAATTTTTCCCAGTTTTGCTGCGTCCCCCGGAGGCCATGACACCCTTAGCATTTGCCGGGATTGCCTGATGAGCGAGCAAGCTCAAGAATGGCACTCAGTCCCAGTATCTCTTTCACGCTTCCAAATTTGTGGGCACATCATTTTGTAACCTTTTGCATGTGTGATCCCAAATCTAGAATTCCCTTTCCCAACCGTGGCGCCCACCCCGAAACCTCCGAGGACCAAACACAAGCTCGTGGTCGAGGGCAAAAAGCTGACGTTCCGCTGCGGGAAGAAAATCGCGTCGAAGAAAGGCAAAGTATTGTGCGTACGATCGGCATCCGTTCACCTCGTGTCGCACCGTTTGCTGTGCCGTGCTTCCTCACCGAGCGCCATCTTCCTCACAACTTTCAGCTGGTACAAAGACGGCGAGCTTCTGGAGTTTTCACACCCAAACTACTTCTCTTTGAAGGATGACCACATCACTATCGTGGCCAACGCCATCAACGAGGGCACGTACACCTGCATCGTGAAGAAGAAAGACAAAGTTCTCACCAACTACTCATGGAGAGTGCGTGTGCGATTCTGAACTCAACACGCGGCGCACACACTTCATTCACTTGGGCACATATTTCTTTCTTTTTCGACTCTCTGTTCCATGTACTGTTGACGGTCATTGTGCAAATTTCATGATGTGAGCAAAATAAAATCAACATTCCATGACCTGAAGTATTTTGGGGGGGATTAGAAACGCGCCGAGGTGGATCCCGCGGGGCATCCTCAAACATCCCATTTTTGATTCGGACAAACGAACCCGCCACAGCATTATGACCCTTTGCGCACGTCTATAAAATAATATAGAAGCTGTATCCAAATATGTAAAATTTCGCTGCTCCTAATACAATCAACTGAGGTGAGCCACATGTGAGAAGCAGCTGTCTCTGCGCAAAAATTGCAAGCACAATAAGCAGATGACATTCATGTGGCACCTTCGAGGCCAACGAATCGTAAAACAAAGAGAACGACACGTTGTGCGGTCAAAACTTTGCCTTAAGAATACCCCCACTAGCTTCATGCTAACACTAAATATTATTGACGGGTAAACAATTAGAATCAATAGTTGCATCTACAACTATCTACAATTTTGCGATTTTCCTTCTTTTAAAAAGACATGACAAAAAGCTGCTGCATTTTGGGGGAAGAAGCTGGAACGGATTCCCTTTGTCAAAGCAGAATATTTGAAACAATTCTTGTACTGGATCTCATTTGGCGGCTCGATAGAACAATCGGCTTGGGGAAACAAGCTCATCCCTGCGATTTCACTCACAAATTGCAATAAAGAACAAAGGAATGATTAAGTGAACGGTGAGTCCGACAGCCTGTCTGCACCGACCCAATCGAAACCAAAAGGTCTTTTTGTGAGGTTCGAGAAGGTGCATCGTGCGACAATGCACACACAGCTTTGAAAAAAAAAAAGCTCTTTTTAAGGCAAGAACAAGTGGTTTTCTCCGGCCTGTGCATGTACACTATCTGGACCTGCATGCACATGTGGAACACCTCACATGCCTCACTTGTTTTCCTCTGATGGTCTCGTGCCAAACATCATCAGTCACGTGATGCACCAGCTGCTCTTCTTCCACACACCAGCTGGAACGCTTGGACAGAAGAGCTCCACTGGAGCTGGACCGATCAAACTCAATAACTGACTTCTCGGTCTGTCTGTTTTGTTAAAGCGTCATAACATCTTGGACTGAGCAGATGTGTGCTGCTTTTTTTTTTTTTTTTGTGGTGGGCCACGAATCAAACGTGTTGATTTATTGAATTCCAACACTGTACAGCTATTTAATTCGGAATGGCAGGCTGCGTGGCGACAAGCAGAATGACATCACCTTGGACAACTAGAGACAGGGGGTGGTCACCCCCGCTCCGACCCCCACCTCTCTGGCGTTCATAATCGTCACGTTGTGTTTGCAAAGCAACCCAATTACAAAACAAAGTTTCATTGTTCTTTATTTCTGGTATAAAAAAAAAAAAAATTATCCCCTTGTTGTTTGAGTGAACAGACAGCTCTGAGTAGCTCTGCCGGATGGAAAGCAAATTCCGCATCATTGAACAGTACCTCCATAAATTGGAACCCCTCTCATGAAGTAAAAAAAAAAGGGAAAGTAAGAGACTAAACGAACTAAATTACCACAATGGATATGGTAACGCAGGTAGAGGAGAGTTGTAACATTTGGGGAACACGTCATAGCCACCATTCTTGCTGTGAGACAGTCCTCGTCGACAGCTAGCGCCGATGCCATATTGTTCTGCTTTGCAGTTCAGTCCAGTGGCAGTGTTTCTTTGCCGGGGAGCCCCGCTCAGAATTTCAGGCTGAATCCAGGACCGACTGCAGATGCTCCCTGATTGCTGGTGGTCAGGTGAAAGCCCGTGTCTTTGAGGTCGTCGTCCCCCTGCGGACAGAGGAGTCAAACAACACGGCAGAGGTTGGAGAATAAGGGCGGGGGAATAATAAGAAGAGGTGTCAAACTCAAGACCGAATCCAGTCATAACATGAATTGGACAACACGAGGTGTGTTAGAAAAGTTCCAGGACTGAGGGCGTCTTGAGATACTACTAGAATTTTCTCCTTGACCACGCTTGTAACTCAAAACTCGCGTTCGTATCCCGAATCATCACATCACCACTTCAAAAGAATGGAATATTCATATGTTCCTGGACCCCCAACAAATGTGCGTATGGTTAATCAAGCTTTTTATGAAGGCATCATTCTGACCGTAGAGCAGATTTCATTTCAGGGAAAATTGTTTTGCAATATCAACAAATTAAGGAGTCCAACCGGCGTCAAGGAATTCATTGCCCTAAAAGGGTCGACCGTACTTTGTACTTTGCAAATGACAGAAATCGATCACATCATAGACTCCATTCTTCTTATTCCAAAACATTCTTTTGAAGCGGTTATTACCAAAAGGTACAATTCCGATACGGTGGAAATTGAACTCCGACGTGGGTAGTACCACTGCTGAAAACATTAAGGAACGTCAGGCGGCGCATCATGGAAAACACGAGTGGTCTACTCGGCAGACACAAAGCAGAGGCTTGTCGGCCTTTAATCTATTTAACACAAGCAGCCTTCGGAAAGCCTACTCGCTTTATGTCATGGAGAAAGTGGAAGTTAATGGCCTTACCAGTTGACTGTAGCCCAAGCCTCCCTCGGGCGGCCGAGGGCTGGTGCCTCTCTTTACCCTCTGTTGCTCGCTCTTGGCCGGCCACGTGGGGAACATGGATGGCTCGATGGGCAGCGGCGTCTCGCGGAAGTACTCGTGCTTGAGCGCCTCGTCGGACAGGATCCGCTTACTGGGACAGTAGGTGAGGAATCTGGAAGAGCATCCATTGTCACTTGATGCGGAGAAGCGAGTGGGGGTATCTTACGCTCTTCTTTTCAGTACGGGCCTCAAGAAAAACAACGTGAGCTAAGGCCTACTACATTTGTGCAGACAACGCTTGCGTAATAGTATAGCGCCACAGAAATGGGAGCGCAGAACATTCCGAAAGATTGCAAGGCAACAGACATACGGATGGCAAGGTGTTGAAAAGTGTAATTAGGCATCTTGGGGATCGCTTTCATCTCGAGAGAAAACGCAAAAGATACTTTTCCTTCATTTTTGTCGGAGCTCAATTTTGTCTTTGCTCGAGGGCTGCCGTTGGTTGTCGTGGTGATGAAAGCCGTGCTAACCATTTGGCTCCGCTGTAACGGGGGCCAGAGTCAGCAGTGTCTCATCTGCTTGAGACAGCCTGGGCTGAGCAAAACTAGTCCATTTGTATTTGTACTCGTGGGGCGGAGACGATACCAACACCACTTTAGCAGCCCGACATGCACCTGCCGGGCAGAGGGAATCGGAGCCACGTTGGTTGTGCGGAGATACTTGACACTCGGATGACAGTCCTCCAACTCCTGGCAAAAATTATGGACTCACCGGTCTCGAAAGAAGTTCATTCAGTTTTTTTTTTTTTTTGGTCTAAATAAAAAAAAAAAAAATTCAAATGGCAACTTTCTGGCTTCAAAAAAAAAAAAAACACTGAAAGAAATCCAGAAAAAAGGGGTTGTCAGTAACAGTTACTTGTTTAGACCAAGAAGGAAGGAACAAAATGTGGAATCACTCAATTATGAGCAGGATGTGGAATCATGAAAACAACAATAAAAGAACACTTCAACACACCACAAGTACTTTGTTGCATCACCTCTGTCTTTTGCAACCGCTCACAGACTCCGAGGCGGGAACACCACTGCACGTTACACGACATTAGCATGTACACAACAGTGTACATTCCGAGAAAATAAATTTTACGGCCAGTTATTTTGAACGCTGTTTTATAGATTGTTGTTTTATTCAATTTTTTTTTAATCCTCAATCAATGTAATCACCCATCCATTTTCCAAATCAGGTGTCCATTATTTTCAGTTTCATCTTAAATCAATATACCGTATTTTCCGCACTATAAGGCGCTTCGGAGTATAAGACGCACCTTCAATAAATGGCCTATTTTAAAACGGTTTTCTTATATAAGGCACTTAGAATAGAAGCGACAATAGTGGCTGAGGTTGCATTATGCCTCCACGGGGTGGAGCTACGCTAGAACGAATACAATACAATGCAGCTTTATTTATATAGAGCCTTCACAACCGCTTTACACAACATTTAAAATACTACAGCCAAGAAATCAGAATATTGATCCGTATATAAGGCGCATCGGATTCTAACCCATAAGAGCCCACGGTGACACCAGTGTAACAAACAGTTTGACCTCCCCAGTATCTTTTTTCAAAACTTTTTGTCTGATTTTAACCCATCAAAACCTTTTGGAAAAATGGGTCTGGGCTCTTATGGGCTAAGGCGCACTGTCGGCTTTTGAGAAAATGGAATGCTTTTAAGTGCGCCTTGTAGTACAGAAAATACGGCAATTGTTTTTTTTTCTTGTTTTAAAGAGGCCAAATTAAAATCATGAATTATGCGTAGTCTGATATGATCTGCATTCCTCGGGTTTCTTCCAGCTCTACTAAGCTCATTATTGAAAATAGACATTTGTTGCATCTTTCATTTGACCAGTTAATTTGACTTTTTCCATCGTTGGGCTGAGCTTGGATTAAACTGCATTATATTACCCAAAAAGGTCTGAGACATGACCCTTGTATGGGTTTCAGGAGTGCAGTTATTGCTGACTCGACCGAGCAACGGCCAAATGAGATGCAATGACAAATGTGGACGAGGACGCAAAAAGCGATCTCGGTGTGCTTGCTGCTGCTTTTCATGAAGCCGTGAACGCAATTTGGTCCTTGTTGAAGCACGCCTGTGCTGCAAAAGCCGGTGGAAATACTGCTCTGGGGGATCTTTACATCAGGGTGGGAATATTTCAGTTTGGAGATTCTGGCAACACTTGAATGTGAACTCGCGATTGATCCCAACTGCGTCTCAAAGTCTCTCTTGGACTTGAAAGCTTTGCGGGCATCAGGGCGCGACCGTGCAAACAGAGCCGGTTGCCAACATATACCTTTCAACATTCATTCGGCAGCCCCGTCTGACGCTTTTCAAACAAGCGGTGGTTTTAAGCGTCGACTTCACATGGACTGAATCTCTGCCGGGCGTTGTTTTTACGGCTGGAAGTGGCCGAAAAACTCGCAGTGAACCGTGATCCTCACACTGCACGGTGCATGTTTCTCTTTTACAGGTGCGTGCAACAACTCGGTGGGTGGATGTCAAGATCTGGGAACGTCTCTCTTCGTCACAGCTGCTCAACGACAACAGACGTTCCGCAGATGCATTGCTCTTGGGGCCCGGCGGGTCCCTTATCTAACATGTGTTTGCACAAACATTTCCGGGTGGTACGAAGCGTCACCAGGCAGAGGTATGCTGATGAATCAGCGGCCCGCTAACATTGTCATGTTTTCCGCGAGGCGGCCAGAAAAGCACGGCGTGAATAAAAAGCTCTGGAGCTACCGAAGGAAAGAGCAACGTAAGAATGCGTTGATGTGAGGGAGCTTTTTCTTCCCCCCACTGCCAAATAACTGCTGATCGTAACTGATGTATCTGTTTGACATTTTGCCTGCAACTCACATCTGATTTCGGGATTCTGTCAGCGAGGACTAAAAATCATTGTCAGGGAAGGTTTTACTTCACGTCGTAATGTAAAACTGCCGCATAAATGTGATGTTTTAACAGAAGATAAGTCCAAACTTTCCAAAGTGAGTCAGACGGCAGTAGATTTGGGGCCCCCGGCTGGCGCCGCCTTCAATATGGGGTGAAAACAAAGTGCCGAAATGAACTCACTTGTTCATTAAGTCGAAGCCCTGGTCCGAGAGCAGCGCGCCAAAGCGCTTTCGCAGGTTATTGTAGGGATGCTCTGTGAAAGACATCTTCTTAACAGCGGGCAGCTCGTTGTAGCCCGGCCAGATTTTCTCACTGGGTGAGCCCAGATCCTAATAAGACCACACAAACAACACAGAACGCTCTTATTAGAAGGGCAGACGGATATTTCCACTCTGCCAGACGTGCTCAAAAGCTTCATCACAGGTAATAACTGCGAACGAATTTGAGAGGCCCGAGTCGGCCCAAACTCATTCAGACAACAAGGGTGGGCCGCTTGGTTGCTTCCGATGCAACAGCGCCAACCTGTGGTACGCTTCAGAACTGCACTGTGAGCTCACCTGCTACGCGACACGTAGTTGAGTGATTTACCGTCTCTCAACACCTTCACGGCCATGAGAAATCAGAACATTTACCTTGAATATTTTATTGATTTGGTCGATTTCGGATTTTCCAGGAAAAAGAGGTTTCTGGGTGAGGAGCTCTCCAAATATGCAGCCCACAGACCACATGTCGACAGCTGTGGAGTACTCCTGCAGGAGAGGAGGGGGGGAAAAAAAACACAGTGGCAGTCCAAAAAAACATAACGCAGCGCAGACAGTCTGCCTGGCACGTTTCTACTTGGGTCTGTCTCGCCTGCGAAAGTGGATGTGCTGTGACGACCGCTGGAGTTTTTCCACGTGTAAATCATCTTGCGTAAAAGTCAAAATTGGGTTTCCATAAGCTAAGGGATTTGCAGATGTTGCTTTATATTTGGAAATATACTTTGGGGGTAAAAATATCAACGGCGACAACATGATCCCCCCCCACCCCCGGTCGTATTTGCACTGGAGTGTGAGTGGCCGCCATGCAAGATGCGCTTTTTACCTTGGCTCCGAGCAGCAGCTCCGGTGATCTGTACCACAAGGTCACCACGACAGGAGTGTAGGGCTTCAGCGGGGAACCATACTCACGGGCTAAACCAAAGTCACCAACCTACAATCGGCAAACAATAATGTTATGTAATACTGCTGCAGGAAAAAAAAAAAAAAAACCAAGTTGGAGTGTCGATAGCGATCAAGTGGATTTGGAGCCACAAATATCGATTTTCTTGATTAATCTTTTGATTTTTTTTCCAATTCACCTGATCACTCTGATTCTTTAAAAAAAGGATTACATTTCTACACCTTTATTACTCAAAAACAGGAAATTGCTTTCAACAGACAAAATTATGATTCAGTTATTCTGTTGGTCTGTAACATGTCAGAAAACAGGAGGAAATGTTATTTCCCGTCAGTAACAGCAGCTGTTTGCAAACGTCCTGCAGGGATTATACACAAAGATAATCACCGCTCACGTTTACGTCGAGCCTTGTAGCCCAATTAGAATGAAACCAAATGACCAAAATGAAATTACATTTCATTTGGATTTTAAAGGGGTGAAAAAAAAGGGCGTTCCTGTTGCCAATCCTGTTGGACTATGATCATGAAATTAACAATTTAATCATTCATTTCGGATACGTATAATCAAAAGTTGTCGGAAAATAAGAGTGCTTCAAGTAGCGGCGACGGTAGTGAAGGCATTCGCGTCTCCATTCATATTTAAATACGACCATTTGCCACTGTTTGGTTTAAAAAAAAATTTTAAACCAACCCTAACTTTTTTTTAAACCATGTCAATTCCTCAACATCATGATGCGATGCGTCAGACAGACAGTAACATGCCTATACTTCGTGTATTTTCTTAAGATCGATCCAAGTCGTCGTTTTAGTTGAGAAACACTACCAGAACTATGATACACACAGGGTGATTGATCGACCTTTTGAGGCTTTTGTATTCACCGATCGTGCACTTTTTCCCCGAATACCAACTGATAATTATCGGCCACTGGTCGATTGGAACATCCGTAAAAAAACAAAACAAAACAGAAAAGAGTTCAAAGAAGCCAACCCACCTTCAGGATGCCCTTGTGACTAAGCAGCAGGTTAGAGGTCTTCAGGTCCCGGTGGAGAATCCAGTTATCGTGGAGATGACGGACTCCTCGAAGCAGCTGAATCATCAGTGTCTTGACTTCTCCTGCAAGACGGTCGAGCGGCGCCGTTTCGGCAGAGTTAACGACTGCGGTAGGCATCGTTCGTAATCGTCAAGTTGATTCGTCACCTGGCAGGAAAGGCTGCTTCATGGTTTCCATCAGACTCTTCAGGTCATGCTCAACGTAGTTCATCACAATGTAGATCTTGTCCATGTTGCTTCCGACAACTATTTCCTACAACGCATTAGGTTATGCACACATCAAAGGGAATGCATGACTGGAAAAAGTATACATAAAAAAAAAATTTTTTTTTTTTTTTAAAGTCTTCTCACCCTCACTGTGACAATGTTGGGGTGCTGCGCTTTCATGATGGTATTGATTTCTCGCAAAGACGTGATCGGGAAGCCCTCCTTCTCCTTCTCCATTTTCAGCCTTTTTAATGCCACAATTTCATCTGTAAACATGAGCGCAATCGCACACATCAGAGCGACAACACCTCCAGCCAATCGGGCCCACACCACGTCGGCTCCTTTACCGGTCTTTTTGTCCTTGGCTCTGTACACCACACCGTACGTCCCCTCCTCAATTCGGTTCAGACATTGGAATTCCTCGACGCTGCGACAGCCCTGAAACACGACGGCACATGATGATGCATAATCCGAACGGCTCCACATAGAATGGGCACACATGCCGGACGTTTTCTATTTCATTGAATTGAAATCAACATCGCATTGTATTAGAATGCAATTTTTAAATTGCAAAGGCTAGAATTGTGGAAGAATATTTTGGGCGGTTGTAGGCTTTATTCGATTTATTATATATTAAATAAATAAACAGCCTTTCATATTAATTCATTTACCTTTATTTTAATGTGATTCTAACCTATAAGACCACAACATTTATGCATCATAAATCTGATGGTGCCACGGTGTCGCCTGTGAACTTCAACTCAGCTTTCCCAAAACTGTCAAGTCAGTTACTTTGTGATTTAACAAGAGGGGCAGTAGGGGCGCAATTACTTTTTTCACATAGAGACTGGTAATGTGGGATATTTTTTTTGTGGCTTATTCAATTAAATTGGCATTTTGAATCTGTATTTTGTATTTCCTTGGGTAGTCTCGGTGTGATAGTAAAATGGGTTTGAAAATCTGAAACCTTTGTGTATGATAAATATGCAAAGAATTCGGAAATCAGGAAGAGGGCAAATACTTTTTCACAGCACTGTTATGAATACTACTGCTTTGAGAAAGAATAAAGTAACAAAAACAAACCCATAGTCCTTAATAGCCGTTAAAACAAAAAGGACCCTCAAAACATGCTGGGTATGCAAAGCGGTTTGCGTATTGCGCCTCACCAAAACAGAAAGAAACACCACTGTTTGGGGAAGTACTGTAATGTTAATACAGCGGTTGGAAAGTCCCGATTCCTCGAGCGCCACATCCTGCATGTTTTAGATCTCTCCTTACTCCAACAAACCTGATCCAATAGATCATGATCATTTCAGGCTGTGACGGAGCTTGCTGATGCGCTCATCGTTTGAATCAGGTGTGTTGAAGTAGAGAGAGATCAAAAAGAGGCACCAGAGTTCCCTACCCGCTGTGTTAATAATGACTTGACGCTAACATATCTTAATATGCGTTGATGTGTTGACACGCACCTGTAAAGCGGGCAAATATTTGGGCAGCTCCTTCTTGAGCTCCACGGGTGAAATTGGCGGGGAGTCAGGAATATAGTTCCCTTCAGGTGTTGGGGTGCGTGAATGAGTCTGCGACTGGGGAGTCGGGTCAGCATCCCCTGCCTCTTCTTCCTCCTCATCCTCCATTTCCTCACCGCTTTCCTCGGTGTCGTGGTCGAACCGGGATTCGGGTACCGCTGGATGAAGGTTGAAGAGGAGAAGCGTTTTCCAATTTTATTCAATTGCTGCGCCCTAATTATTCCGCACCTGAACCGCGTCATAGAACACATATGAACAATTATAGGCCGAAGAGCGGTTTGGGTGTCGAACTATTGTTCAACTATAATATGTGGAATCGCACTCTCCAAACCGTAGCATTTTAAAGCATCTGCGGGGAAAGAGTGAATCTGAAACTGATTGCAGGCGTCTCTTGCTATGCTCAAAAACATTCAGTGGTCTGACTTCTTCTTTACATTTGGATCGCAAATATGCCTGCAGCAATGAGAAGGCGTTCCAAAATAATCCTTACGTGGTAACATGTTAAGTTCATTTTGTCATTCAAATGTCACTGAATTACTGACCAGTCAAATCGAGTAAATGATGACTATGAGGGCTGATGTACAAAATCCAAGTGCAGAATATCAGGAACAAAATAAAGAAGTCCTAAAAATATATGGTGGCCAGTGGCATGACTAAAATAACGAATAAAGATCATTTCAACAAAATTTCGACCGGGTGGCTGACCAGGGGGTATATGATTTCCATTTTCCTGCTCCTCTGCAAAGTCCTCCTCTGACTGCTCCTCCTCACTCACTTCCTCTGCAAAAACGGAGACGCTAAAGTTAAGCAACAGAGGCTACGCCCTTCAATCACAGTACAACAATGCGGAATTGTTGATTACCTGCGCTCTGCTCAGATCTCTCTGAGCCAGAGACCGAGACTGACTCTCCCTCCTCTTCCTCCTCCTCTTCCTCATCCTCCTCCTCCTCCTCTCCTTCCTCTTCTTCACCATCAGTCTTGCTGCTGGACTCCTCTTCCTCCCCCTCTTCCTCCTCAGAACCAGATCTTGATGCTAGATGAAGAGATGTGTGAATGAGGGAGGAGCCTCATATTCCTGCTGATCACCAGCAGTGAGTGCTTACTTGCGTTCTTGCTGTGATCAAGGCTCAAAACAAGCGGTTTCACATCGTCGTTTGCGATTTATTTCCCCCCCACAAATGACGCGATTTCAACACAACGATGCAAACGGGCCGGCGTTTATGACAAAACGCAGAGCTACTAACTGTTACAGAATCACTGAGTGAACGTCCGTCACACATTGAGGCTGTTCCCAATATTTAAAAAAAAAAAAAAAAATCTGAGTAGCTGTGTCCTGCTGGTGCTGAGAGTAGCTAGCTAGCTTGACGTAAATACATGGTTACGTCTTTTACGCGCCCGAAAATGGCAGCAACCAATATATTAATATATAATATTAAATAAGTGCAGCCCTACATTCAACCACCCTGTTATATGTTGTATTTTTTATTGTTTAATAAAATCCTTGCGTCCCTGGGATTAACCGCAAAAAAAATAAAATAATAAAATGTTCCTTATATTTGCTATTCTTTTTTCCTCAAACGAAGTCCTTGATTCGCAAAATTGCTCTTCAGAGGAAAAAAAAAAAAAAATTGAGCCTTGATGATTTCTCACCAGCGGAAGATTCAGCAGAGCTGGTTTTCCTTTCACTGTCACTGATGTCTTGAAGGTCTGCAAGTAGGTCTTGAACCTCAGGCCTCTCCTCCTTTGATGCTGCACGCAAAATATGAGTAATGCAACAACAACAACAACAAAAAACTGACCCACGACAGTTTATCTTTAACACAGCATTAAAGGAAATGTTATTGTGCTACAAACTCACTCAATTTCCGGAGTTCACCAGGTTCCGTTTTCTCCCGGGGAACATGAGCAGGACTGCGGCTGCGGTGACTCTGCTTCGGCTTCTCGCCATACTCTTCCGGTAACATTCGGTGGTGTGAAGAAGACACTGTGGACCAAAGAGTGCGGTTTTATTTGACTCAACGTGAAGCTACTCTTAAGAGTTAAGTGTCCAGGTTTTACTTTTCCAATGTGGCATCATTTCAAATCGATTCACTGAGCATTTAAGATCGTTATTTTATTACCGTATCCAGTGGAATTTCTGATTATTTTACGATGCAGATTTAATTCAATTAAAACAGGACATTTAAGCGTCATTTGTTTGCAACGTTATTTGGTGCTTCAACACTGATAACATGCTATAAAAGGATCTCTTGTTTACTTGGTTTAAACCACTGATGCGCTAGACTATTCGCCATATAAAAAGGTAGCATGTTATGCTACTTTTATTTTTTTTTAAAAAACAAGTAAAAATACACACTTGAAACAATTCAGATGTGCACTTTTTGTTCTTCTTAATGCGTTGCTGCGGGTATCAGATGAGGTATCGGCAAATATTCAAAAACAGATGACACATTGTGGAGAAAAATGTGATTGGGACATCTCTAGAGTAATCGATGAGCCAACGGTGCAAGACCACCAGCCGGATTTGACTACTGACCGTCTCGTCGACCCTCTCGTTCTTTGCGCCGCTCATCGGCCCTCCTCTCTCGGTCCTTCAGCTCTCGTTGCTCTTTCTGCTGCTCGCGCAGTTTTCTGTCACGCTCGCGCTGTCGTTCCTGCTGTTCCAGACGGTCCCTGTGGTCCAAAAAAAACCCGGGAGATTCCAGTCGGGGTCTGTCCGGACAACCAGAAGCCCAATTTTGTCAATGCAGATTTTTGGGGGGTTAGAAATTTTACGAATACAACATGCAATGCTAAACAACTGAACAAACTTTAGTCTCATAAGTGTACTGGTCTGTAAACCACAACCACTAAATAAAAATAAATCATCTTCAAACACTATTCACACAGGGCTGATAAGCCACACACACATTAGACGTATGATGCTGATCTGTGGAATATGAGTTAAGCAGTAAAATCCACCTGTTTTGATCCATCTCAGGGAGCGGCCATTTTGCCACTTGCTGTCGACCGAAAATGACATCACAGTTGCTCAGGGCTGAGGTCACGACCAATCACAGCTCACGTGTTTTCTGAACTTGTTCACGTCACATTCACAAGCTGAGCTGTAATTGGTTGTTACCCGAGCCAGGACTGTGATGTCATTTTCGGTCGACAGCAAGTGGTAAAATGGCCGCAGGATCAATCAATCTGGGACTTCTCCAAAGTGAACTGCTCGGGGGGAAAACAATACTTCAAGCTGGTTGGGTGGTGCGCCAACTTGTGCACGCCCACCAAACTTTTGTTTTGACCAATCGCGGCAACAGATGAAAATGTCACCGGCTTGTTTTGACCAGCTGAGTGCTGTTATCTCGATGCGTAGCACAGATGGCATCATGTCAGTGAGTGATACTTGTTCGTTTTTGCAATGTAAATATGTGGATAAACGGTGTTATCAATTAATTAATTGCAGCATCCATGCATTTATTCGGCATAGCCACGATTGGGTTGTTGGGTTTCCCCCCGGCCTCTGCACTTGTTGCTTTCGTCACAGCCGCATATCCCGCCCCCAAACACAGCGTTGCTTTGTGACCGGTAGGCACAAGCAGCGGCGCGGCTTGGAGCAAGACAGCAGGCTCGAGACGACGTGGATTCTCGGGGTTTTGTGAAGTCACAAGTACCACAAGAATTCAGCTTGCAGGGGCAAGGTTATCGCCAACAGAGACTTGTGGTCACTTTCACGGCTCCCAAACAACAATGTTATGGCAGTGCCTTTTCCATGTTGTGTTCACCTCTCTCTGCGTGAATGAGCTCTGGCCTGCTCCCGTCGTTTCTGCCTCTCCCAGTCTTGCCGGGCTTTGTCTTCTTCCCACTGACGCTTCCTGCGATCTCGCTCCCTTTCTTTGTCTTTGGCCCGGGCATGCTTCCCTGCTGTCAAGGAAATATACCTTCAGTGGACGCTGTTGCGTAGTTAGTGCAAAAGACGCTTCAAATATGAAGTCCCTTACCACCCTCAGCCGAGTGGCTGCGATGACGTCGTTTGTCTTTTCTCTTCTCCTCCTTTCTGTGATGAGATTTCTCCTTCCTTGCAACTTGCTGTGGAGGCTTAATAGCTAGTGAATCATCTTCCTCGCCTCTGTATTCCAAAATACAAACAAAATATAATGGTGAGACATTTCGCATCAATAAAGTTCCCTTACACTGGTGTCATTTTAGCACAACACCAGTGCGGAAGATATGACGTTATTGTAGATAAATTTCCCAACCACAAGAAAGGATTTTTTTTTCCTGATCTTAAATACAATTGTATCTGCACACATGCATACAATTGTACCTCCTTAGTCTTACAATCTGGAGTTCAACCAACATTGTTTGGAAAAATATGTGGAAACCGAGTGTCAAAATGAGACGTTTTAGGGAGAAAAAGGTTTAACTTTAGGCAATCTTAAACATGTTAAAGAGCCTCATCGAAAGGATTGTGTTTGATTTTGCGTTGCTATATCAAGCTGTGTTGCTGATGTTTGGCACAAGCACCTGTCCTCTGTGGAATCTTGACGAGTGTAGGGGGAATTGCGAATTGTTATTTCCATCCTTTGATCCCGTAGTTCTCCTTCCTCCGGGGTCTCGCGTTTGGATTCCCGAGCATCCGCCTGTGGAACAATGCTTTGGGAAATCTGTGGTAAAAACAAATGAGAATTATTGATTGAGTCATGTGAAAACAAAATGCAGGAAACATACATACACTGACAACATTCTCAAAATAGAAAGTGCAAATTGTTTGTTTGTTTGATAATGTTGGGGGGGGGGAAGATGACAATTTTTTTTTTTAATTAATTACACGTAAATGTTGGTCTACTTTACATTGTTTGGGTGCTTGGTATCGGTTCGCTCCTCTAATTCTTTTCTGCGTTTTTTCTCCAGTAGTATTTCTTCAAGAGTTTTAACTTTCCAGGTCTCTTTTTCGTCCCCCATCAGCATCCACGCTCCACCACCTGCATTACAGCAACACAAACACACAATTGAAGAGATCATCACAAATTTGGCAAAAAAAAAAAAAAATGTTCATCATGATTCCTATCGAACTAATGAGTCTTATTTAATTACAACATTGATTCAATTGTGTTGACACTGCTCCTTATACAGAGATGTTCAAAAACCGAGGTTTGACTGTACAATCAAAGCAAAGTGAACAGGTCTATAACCCAAAGTGAGTAGGCTTGATAAACTGGATATTTTAAATGGCATGCAGGACAAAGTACAATATTTAATTTTGAATGACTTGAATTTTATGAAATAAAATTAACAAAACCTGATAATGTTGGTGAAGTGCAAAATTGTTGTTGATTTTTGATATTGACTTAGTGTTGATTCATCAATTAATTGCTGCACCTATAATACTATTTGTATATGTTTTTAAAGTACAACATTGTAGTGTGATATATTCTTTTTTTTAACATTATTTTTATTGGGGATAGGTGAATTGTACTCACATTCATTTAAACAAGGATTATTTGAGTATCACTATTTCGAATTACTAGTGATCACAGAACTATTTAACTCCCATCTCAAGGCAATAGTGGAAAAGCTTCAATCTGACTTCCAACATTTGTGATTGTGGCTAATGTGCTTTGCAAGATTCATCTGAACTCAATGCCATCACACCAAATTACCGTCAAATGGCGCACATTCACTCTTACTCCATTAAATCAAACATATTGTTTTGGCACGCACTTGGAAAAGACGTCGTCGACGTTAAGGTCTGGTGAACGAGCTCCACATGACCGAAGCTAGTAAATAAATGGATAATAGTATACTGTACAGAATTTGTGGAGGTCAATAAAATAACAACTGCAGTTTATGCTAACTCCTTTATGTCCACGCCGTTCGGCACATTCCTAAAACGAGGAGCGCTTTCATGATTTACCAGCCGGTACCACAATCGTATTAATGGTTCGACCTCAGTTAATCATGCAGATGTAGAAGGAGAAACTCCAAATTTCAAAACACGTCCGGCTAACGTCAACTAGCTAATCATCTGCAGGAGCGACATCTGCCTCAAACTACATGAAGCTTACTTATTGTGGGACGAGGAAGTGTTGCTTATCAAAAAGAGCGAATGAACGAGTAAAACACTGTGTGTTTACATTTTTTTAATCTACACGCTCGAACACGACACTAGTTAGATTTGTCAAGGAGGAAGTCGTACATTACGAACCTGGAATATGGTCAGCACTACTCTGGCGCACCGGAAGTGCAAAAACGTTTCTTCTTCGTTTTGTTAAAAAAAAATATATATATACGGACTACCCAACAAAGTAGATTTGTTGGCGCCCCCTTTTGTTTCGGAATGTGCACCCTTTTTGTTTGTCGGCTTTACATGTTCGATGAAAACACTCAGGAAAACATTTGGGAAATTACTCGCGCCTTATTGGTACTTACCCACCGCATATCCCGAACATTTAGAAGAAAGCATTTATAAACATTCGATTTTGAAAATGTATACCGTAGAAAGTGCTTTTGGTCCGTAGAAAGTGCTTTTGGTAGACCAAAGGAGGACCAGAGTGACTAACCTGGAGCGGTGGGATTTATCCCTTGGGGTGTCTGATTTATTGACCGTTCAAGACGCAGCAAGCATCTCTCACTCTCTTGACCTGCTTTTTTTGAAGAGAGAAAAAAAACAACAAAATAGACTGACACACTAATAAGTGTAAAACTATACATCTTACTTTAAATGCTGTGGACGATAATGTCAGCCGGTCTGAGCCTTGAAACTCCATGGCTGATGTTCATGACTCATGTTCTTTTCTCCCATTTAAAAAAAAAAAAAATCAAAGTAAAGACGTATTTGTCCAAATGGGTCCATTTTATTGGCATCCATTGAACCACTTTCATTACAGAAATAAAACTACCCTACTGGTAGACTCCGGCTTGTACAATGTGGTTATGCAGAGAGAAATGCAGACTGCACAGCGTGAGGGCAAGGATACAGTAGATGTAACTAAACTACAGTGGAACAAACTGGTGCTAAGTCCTTCCTGGCTTCCAGTGGCTGCAGGGGCATTTGTATCCTTTCACATAGACTCTTTAGTTGACTAGAGAGGTCAAGAATGTGCTTGGGAGGCCCACTATTGACTGCGTGGGGGAAAAAAATGCACACACACATACACAAACTTTGGTTTAGCAAACATTCCTGATATTCTGAGATCAAAAACCTCTCTTTGTTTGCAGACAAGTTGAAATTAAAAATGAGCTATGCATAATAAACCAAAAGAAGTTACTTCTCTCTTGCTGACCTTAAATGTTGGTTATTATTCAAGGATTATTCTATTCTTAAGCAGGTGACAAGGACTTGCTCCAGTCATTCATTTGCAGATGATGGTTTTATTTCCATTGGTTGCCTTAGCTGTGACTCTGTAGAGAGAACTTGAGGATACTTGATGGAAGCCACTGAGAATTTGTGTTTATTTAGACGGTCAAACTACCTTGTGTCTCTTCATCTGAATGACCAATTATTGCATACAATAAAATGAAGCACTGGTGGTGGTGAAATTCTGAAAAATGCCTCCTTGGAAATCAAGTCTGCCATGATGGCACTGTCTCTGTAATCTCCACCTGAACTATTTAAAACAAAACAAACAAACAAACAAAAAAAAAAACAATTAAACTAATCAATGGTGTTTTCTCACAACAGTGTAGTCACAAGCTCTCGTAAGGCCAATTGAACATACGCAAATCCGGGTAACATACAAGCACCACGAACGCCACTCGACAACTGTAACTCCGGCCGACTTAACCCTGGCCTCTTTATTCACTTACATGTTATGGCATTACAAATAAAAATAATGATAAAAACAAACAGGAAAGAACTAATTCCAATCTGGCGGCGTGGAAACTAAGCGGGAAAATCCAGGCTGACATAGTCTCTGTTTTTTCTGCGGGGCGCTGAGATTTCACAAAACCGGTTATTGTCCCGACGGCGATCCCACGATCATCCCACCCTTCTATTGTCCTCCTGGTACCTGTTGACCTCATCAAGGCCCCAGCAAGCAACACAGCCTGCAATGGTTATGCTGAAAGTGTGTGTTGGTAGGTTGGGTGCGGGAGGACACGAGGGGGTGTAGCTAGTCTGAGCCCCACCACTCAGTCGGTGGAGAAGAGGTCACCGGCCGAGGGGAGCGGGGCCAGACCGCCGGTCACGTTGGGAAGGAGGGAGAGGTCGGGCAGACTCTGGATGTGAGATTTGAGCTCCTTCCTCACCTGGGTCACCCTGGCCAGCTTCTGCTTGTATTCCTGCGCACAACAGCAGCGTTCAGGCAACTTCATTTCGCCACTCGTCCACGAGACTTGAAATCAGTCAGGATTAAAATGAAACAGCGTTTTAAGCACAGAAGATAATGACACAGGTTTCACATGAGGGGCCAAAAAACAACCCAAAAAGTTATTTTTAAGTGGAAGGAAAATACTCCACTCGGTGGGACAAGTAACCTGTGCATCCATTCATTTCGTCTAGCTTCATGTCCGTGTTTTATGTTGTGTTGTTTTTATTATTTTACTCTACTGTTTTGTTAAGCACTTTGTTACAGCTGCAGCTGTTGTAAAAGCGCTACCGTATTTTCCGCACTAAAAGGTGCACCTAAAAGCCTTCCGTTTTCTTAAAAGCTCACAGCGCCTTAAAATCCAATGCACCTTGTGTATGGTCATTTCGGTAATATTTAGACCCCAAAATGGCTCCATGCTGACAACGCACAGTTCAAACCTAAGGCGATTGGTTACGCAGTTGAACAAGGAAACAGAGCAGTGGTAAGAGAGTTCAACGAGTCAATGTTATAACTTGCTGTTGGTTAAGTGAACTGTGTTGCTGCTTAACTCATTCAGTACCAGCCAAGTCTAAACCAAGTCTGAAAAGACGTTTAAAAACGTCTTTGAGGGTGAATGAGTTCAATAAGTTTGATTGACATTTGATCGTTCTGTTGGCGTTTCCTTGAGCGTAGCTCCATCTAGTGGATGCATTGTAGATTGCATCTTATAAAGCGGTGCTCCCTATGTATGAAAAAAATGACAAAATAGGCCACTCATTGAAGGTGCGACTCATAATCCAGTGCACCTTTTAGTGTGGGAAATACGGTATATAAATCAGGATGTATTGTATTGGATACAAAAAAAAATAATTGCCGTGTTCAACGAAACAGGCCCACGTTTCACACTGGGTAATTGTGAGCAAAGTTCCTGACCAGTATATTCATAATTACAGTGTACTTTTTGTGATATTTTTGTTTGGTGGTGTGTTTTGAGATTTGAATGACGTAAAACAGGTGCCCGAGCGCAATGAAGGTCGGGAAACACCAGTGTTAGTTGATTGTGTAGTTTGCCTTGCCTCGAGCTTCTTCTCCCTCTCCACAAGCGCCTCCTTCTGGCTGCCGATGTAGTCAGTCAGCATACGTGCCAGCTGCCTGCGGTCCTCCAGCTCGGCGGCCAAGCGGCCGTTGTATTCGGCCAGCAGAAGACACGCTTCGTCCACTGTCTTGGACAGTTTGTCTGCTGCCTCCTTGTCTACAGGGGGACATATGGGAGGACATGCATCTCATTTTGTGATTCATTCCAACTGTCTTTCAATTCATGTCATTGTTGTGATGGTGAAAATATACACAGCCCCTGTTTTGTTTTGTTTTTTAAGTACAATTTTTATTTTGTTTGTTTTTATTTAGAAGCTACAGTGTTCCTCGCTATATCGCCTTTCACCTCGATTAAAATGCAGTAAAACCTTTGGACAGTGGTTGTGACAGCTGGTTACATCACACATTTTTGAATAGAATAATTGTAATTGTTTTCCGAACAATGACCACCGAAGCATCCTGCAGCTTTGCGCGATAAATGGGGATTCACTGTATTGCAGTGTGCAATAGAGATGGAAAACATATTCATCTTACCGGTTATTTTTTCCAGTAGCGAGACATCTTGGACTTCCTGCGGCAACGAGGCAATTTTCTGTCGAACAGCTGCGTCACCTGATGCAGCATTCTCCAAATCCTGCAGTGCTTTCACTAGCTCCTCTGTCTGAGTGGATGTTACAAAGACATAAAAATAGACAGCAGGGGAGGAGGAAACTGTGAAACCATATCTCTCATCGCGGGCATAAGGGTTTCCGTGTCTCCACCCGGTCAACCCACATCCTAATGTTGGCTTGAAGCATTCAATGTTCTCAAAAGTCGACAGTGAGCCCTATAATCCGATGAGCCTAATATAAAGAGATTGTAACTCTCTTTACAGCCCCATTGAGTTGTTTCCCTGTTAGTGTTCCTATGCCATCTAGTGGTGATTATTAGCAGGAACCGATTGCAACCTAAAAGGGTTCTGCCCAACACTAATTGACAACTACTTTGTGAGCTCTGCGCAGCCATAATCCAACGAAGATAATACCAAAAGCATAGTTAACTACTGACGAAACGAAGGAAGAAGGAGACAAGCAAGAGCTGTAAGGATATTCAGCCCCTTGCGGATGTGAGCCCACGAGGTTTGTGTGCCTTTTTGTTGAATCATTTGTCTTCATAGCTTTTGTCTTACATGTATTATTTTGTAATGCTATTTGTATTTATATGTTTCATGTTTGTGTTTGTGACCGGTTCTCATTGTTACAGCTGCAGCGATTGTGAAGGCTCGATATAAATAAAGCTGCATTGGATTGAATTGTATTCCCTTTAGCATAGCACCATCTACAGGCTGCATAGCGCAACCGCAGCCACTCTTGTAGCTTCTATTTAAACTTCCCCCCAACGAAGAGTTGCCTCCTCACCAGTTGATTAGCGGAGGCATCTGTGTTGCGAGGAGAGCTGATGCTTCTGTAGTCATCATCCTCATCCTCCTCTTCCTCTTGGTGGATCTTCTGGTAGGTTCGTTTCACCGGTTTCTTTTCTTCTACTGTCAAAGACCACAGAAGAGTTATTCATCATTGCCACTGCTGGAATGTGCTTGTGGCGAGAAGCCAGCATTTACAAAACCGGATCATAGCATTTGTGTGTGTGCCATTTCATGAAACACATACAACAGGTTGGAATTGATGCCACAACAGAAGGGCAAAAGTCACGTGAGCCACCAAACCGGTAACAGCCGCGAATTTTTGAATGTGTTTCGGTCACAATTTGGGTTTATTGTGTTCATGAACATGCCTACTTTTTATTATTCTTATTATTTATTTAAAATTATTATTATGAGTCAACCTGTAGGCTGAGGGCTGTTAGAGTCTTCTATGGCCAGGGTGAGCTGCTGAATAAAGTCACTTCTGTAGAGGTTGCGCTCTTTCCAGATGTTCAGGAGTCTCTCCATGTGTTTTTTGCAGCTCTCATCGACTTCACTGCAAGACAACGGTAAAATTCAGCGGAAAAACAAACAGGAAAGACGAGACAAGGGTTCAAAGTGCACGGAGCATGAAAAGTTGTCGCACTATGACTTGGGAGACATTCTAGTTGTATGCGGCACATGCATTTGAAGGTCGAAATGTTATTTCGACAACACCCTTCAAAAGAGGTGAATACCATGAAAATCACTGCGCAAAATGTGAAATTTAAAAAGGCAAAAATCCTACTACTCTGTTCTTGTCCGAATAGCTCTGGGCCTTTACAAACGCTAAAGCCAATCATTCCCGCCATGACCGACATTTCGATTTCCAGAGTTTTACTCATCCCCTCATACCTGGCAACATGAGAGCAGGCATCGATGAGGACCGTCTCAAAGTCTTTGGTGAATTCAGGTCCTTTCTTCTTGCTATTTTGGATGACATCGTTGGCTAGATAGAGGAACGTCAGCTTCCTACTGGTTTTCGCTGCAAGACAAGAAATTACATTTGAAACGTAACAACAACATTGTCATAGCTTTACCGCACATATTTGAAATCATAAAAATCTCATGGCACACCAATGACATTTCAAAGTCATCGTACAACATTAGCCTTAAAAACAAATTATTATGGATGATCTGATTTAAAAAAAAAAAAAAAACACATGGCGAATACTATCGTCAACTTCCAGATTAAATGTAGCTGCACCTTGAAGTCAAGGGGCAGCTAAATCAGGGCATATTACTTAGTCAGGGCATATTACTTGAACATACGTCCCTGGATTACTGTACTATATACTTTATCACCATAAAAGTACATTTGGGACTTGCCCTTTGACTGCTTATGCTAAACTTGTTTGGTACAATTTTGTTAAATTGTCATTTGAAAGATAGCTGGTGTGAGGGAAGAGGATGCACAAAACAGGGTTAGATGGAGGCAAATAAGGGAAAAGCCAAAAGGAAAAGAAGAAATAGTAGTCATTTGAAAGATTAAAAAAACAGTAAATTGCAGTGCTGAAGAATGTTAATTAACTTTTCATGTTAATTTATCTTTATTTTAGCATCAGCATCCCAAACTGTTATATATAATACATGTGATGTTGCTTGTTGTAATGCAGATAATTTATTGCTGTATTTATTTATTGAAAATAAATCACATATTACAATACAATTACTGTACATTATTGACGGTGATGGAGAGGGACACAATTATTTCCCGCCCGACTACTTACTACCCCACGTTGTGATTAGCAGAGCAGTGTGAGGAACGTGCCAAAAATGATGTACATCCAATGAAAAAAAGTTAGAAAAGGTTTGATTAGTCGGCTACATTCGAGCCTCACCTTTCTTCAGCTCTCTGTGCCACACTTTGACGATGAGGCCCGAGTGTTTGCGGTGGTGGATGATCCACAGAGATAAAGTCTGGACGCTCTGCTGCGAGCTGCTCAGCTCCGACAGCTTCTTCTCCAGCGCCGCCTCGGAAAACGACGACATGTCCGCGTGCTGGTGCGCGTCTCCTTGGGAGCAGCCTCACCACGACTCCGCTCTAAATTGGCGGCGCTTCGAGCTGGTTGGAGGAAACCACTAGAGTCACTCTCATCAAAACTAAAGTTGCACTTCATGCAAGTACACGGAAGATTAAAAACAACCCCCACTCTCCAAAAAGGAGCGTCCGTCCGTTGCCTACTCAAGCAAAACTCTAATAGCGTTATACAAGCCGCTGAACTACGTGAATGCTGTGAGGAGATAATAAACGTGCAGCTTTTGAGTTGGCTCAAGAGAAGCAGTTTGGTCGGTAGCTCAAGTGTTTGTTTACAGTCACAGCTAACACTTAGCCAGCGTCAGCTAAGTAGCCATCCGCATACTACGAGCTAGCCTGCGCTTTTGCCGGAGTTGAAATGCCGGAACTTTTGTAATTCAGAGGTGAATACCTGTTCGGTACGAAAACGGGATTAATGAATTGGTAAACGTCAAGGTGGAGTGACGCGTAGGCTCGTTACCTTTATCTGAACTAATCAGGAGGAATTATCAAAAAAATGGCAGCTTGCATTTACACTTCAACATTTGCGTCGCGGGGTAGTGACGTCACCAGTAATCGAACGCCTCTTTTTCAATTTTTTTCTCTTTTTTTGCATTCATTCACAGTTTACTCTTTTTTGTTTACTTTTACTATTTTGTACGGGCGGCGACAGTCTACTCCTAGTTTTGCCACCTGAAAAAATATGAATACTATTTGAAATTCACATTGGCTGCTCGAAACACGTTTAAACTTTTATATCCCGAAACATGTTTTTGATGATGAGTTAAAAATCATATTTCTTTTTTTGTAACACATCAGGTTTTTGAAACATTTTCAGTTTTGTTTTTAATAATTAATTGATTTGCCTATAAAACTTTGTAACACGGATTTTACCATGCGTTGTCATTTACAGCAATGAGAGTTTATAGCATATAGCTATGCTAGCGAAAGAATAAGGGCAAATTCGGAATCATCGAGGAAAGTTTGATTGCATTTCTGACAAAAAATGTGTTGACCAGTTTAATTTGTGTTTTACTAGTGAATTATTTTACTTGACTTCTTGTTTTGCATTATATTCATCACTTTGTGTCGCATCGTAAACGCTGTTATCATTCAATATTTTTTAAACAAATTAGAAAAGCAAAAATTCCTTCAGATTTGTTTTTGATCCTGCTTTTCCACCAAAACACCGGTGAAGTCAGAATGTAGTGTTTTCAAACTTTGCACATATGAAGTCATGATATGTTGAATATAATTCTGTGACAGCTTGCTTCTTGCAAACACACTTCATAGAATGTTGTCATCGCAAACATTTGCATGGCCATTTGCAATCTTGAGGTTGTGGTTGACAAAATACATTGTATTGATGTCGAAACCTAATAAATGTGGCTTGGATGCATGCGAGAGTCAAATTCTTGCCAATTCAACAGGCGCAACTGAAAAAATAAGTTTCAAATATCAGCCGAAGTGCAAACCACACATGCATAAACATTCATTTTCATGATGGATGTTTCAAACGCTGATTAGGATGTTTAAGCCTAGTAAATCCAGGAAAATCTCCTTCTTGTGCAGAATTAATGCAGGTTTTATTCATCAAAGACTAAACAAAAAACAAGAAATGTACCATTTTCAAAAACAACAATCGAGAGGGCCTTTTCCACTGGTTACAGCATTTATGCGACATGTTAAGTACGCTTCAAACATACAAATTAGACATGCAAATCCACGCTACTCCCCCGAGAAAGATGCAAAAGTGATCCTATCATTTCAGTGCCTTAAACTCACACCTGGAAAACTTCCCTATATACCTTGGCTTCCATGTGCAGAGTGGCACTTCCAAGTCAGCCTTTTATTTTGCATTCAACGTACGTTGATATGTGGGTGACACTTCGAGGTCTCTTCTTATGTTGCCTGCTGCTGCAGGTGACTGATGGGGAACTGGACTTCACCTCCCGGGGAGAAGGACTACATCTTCAGGGAGACTTCTCCATTGCTGGACTCTTTCCTCTGCACGACACAAATGGCCCAAGTGCTGGTTTGCCCGCTCTGGGTCCATGCAATGAGTGAGTTGACTGAAATAACATCAATGCTAGTCTATGGGGCAAGTATATGGGATAGTTTATCATTTTTGTGATTTTATTGACTGTCTGATGCATTTACTAAGCATGATGCAGTAAAATGAGTTATGATTCCTATCAAAAATGTTTATTAAATATTAATAATAATACAAACGGGCTTTAAACATGCCATGTATCCCATAATTGAATAAACCTGGACAGTTTACATGTGAAACACTCCAAAAACAAACACACCCACAAACACACACGCTCCCACGTGGGAAGAAGCTGGAGTACCTCGAGGAAACCCACGCAAGCATGAGGAGAACATGATTTGACCCTTGAACTTCTGAATATTGATTCTAATGTATTTGTCTTTCATTTATAGAGGCCGCCACAACAAGCATGGCTTCCACATGATGCAAGCCATGCGTTTTGCGGTTGAGGAAATCAACAACAAGACTGGCGCACACCATCTCCTGCCAGGAGTCTCACTCGGGTACCGGTTGTACGACATTTGCTCTGTTCCGGCCAGTGTGCTGGCCACCCTGGACATCCTGGCCGAACAGTACCGCGGCTCTGCTGCCAACACAGAACCAGCCCTTGCCAACATGACCGTGGCTGTCATCGGACCCGACAGCAGCAGCAAAACCTTTACTCCTGCCGCTCTACTGGGGGCCTACCTTGTGCCACAGGTAATTCATATTAGCAGAACTGTTTGAAATGAATGGAAATCCGTTCCAGCTGCCCACACCAAAAAAAAAAAAAAATTTAGAAGTGTTTTATCCTGGAATAATTAGAATCTAAATATCATTGAATGCTTCACTTCAATTGACATTGTGCTCCTCCTTCTGCTCTTCATCCCTTGTGTTAACAGGTAAAACTAGCAGTTTCCATTTTCTTTCGCCTACTCTAAAAAGGATAAAAATGAATAAGATGTATAAACTAGGTTGGCCAGCTGACCGGCGCTTACTGCCCAGCCGAAGGCGGGAGTATGGAGCAGCATTTCCGGGTCATTGATTAAAAGTATGACGTCCAAGTAAATAAATAAACACATAAATAAATAGATAAATAATTTGGACTTGGTCAAATTAGCTCGCATTCTGAAAAAGTGTGGTAACCCCTGACCTCAAGACTCCTCAATCCTGAATTTTATTCAGGACTAATATTGGTTGTTTTTCACAGAGGGCAAAGCATCAATGCTTGTGAGTATGTTTATATTATCCGCCTGTATGTGTTGCTTCACCATTTGTGTTCAACTATCTGCTACTTAAAAGGTTACAACACCGCCACATAGATGCCATTGGTTATGATGTTTGGTCGGACAGGAAACGTCAACTGGGAGTGGCAATAAAGAGCATGAAGCCCCTTTTTTGAAGAACTGTTCACAATTTTGGTCAGCCAAATGAATCTACAAAAGTTTACTTGCATCTCTGATTAAAAAAAAAAAAAAAAAGTAAAAATTTGTTGACCAGTATTAGCAAAACATTTAACAATTGGACATGTGCATTGACAAAGTTTAGAGAAGATCAAATGAAGTTACCCTTGAAAAGGTTTTGTGCACTTTAGGTTCATCCTGAAACGTAAAAGGCCAGCTCGTGAGTAGCGTATGTGTTCTCTTTACCGCAGATCTCTTATGAAGCATCAAACAAAAAGTTGAGCAACAAGGTCCTCTACCCGTCCTTTTTCCGCACCATCCCCAGCGACAAGAATCAGGTGGAGGCAATCATCCAACTGCTGGTTCGTTTCAACTGGACCTGGATCGCACTGTTGGGCAGCGACAACGATTACGGCCTGGATGGCATGCAGAGCCTGTCCCAGCGGGCCGCGGCGCACGGCATCTGCGTGGCCTACCAGGGAATCATCCCGGCCTACAGCAGTGAGACGGTCGACCTGATGAGGGGCATGGTAGCGGGCATACTGAGGGCAAAGGTCAACACCATCGTGCTCTTCTCCAGTAAGTCCAAACTCAGCGGCTTTTTCCCATTCGTTATCGAGGCTAACGTGACCGGTAAGGTGTGGATTGGCACGGAGGATTGGTCGGCTGCCACGCGTGTCTCCGGAATCCCCGGGATCCACACCGTCGGAACTGTGCTCGGCGTGTTCATCAAGCACGCGGCAATAAGTGGCTTTTGGACATTCGAGAGAAGCGTCCTGGAAGCTTCGCTGCGTCGCGGGGACGCCCAGGCGGGTTCGGGCGTCGCCGGCGGGGTTTGCCTGCACAGCACCGACCTTTTCAGCCTAGCCAGGAACAACTTCACTTTGGAGAAGTATGACATCACGTCGTCCTTTAACGTATACAAGGCGGTGTACGCAATTGCCCATGCTCTCCATCGACTTCTTCAATGTGACACCGGACAGTGCCAAAAAAGGAGAGTGCATCCTTGGCAGGTCAGCTCTGTTGTTTTGTTTTTGACTAAGATGAAAGGCTGTGACTGGAATCATTCAGTCATTCCCTACTCACTAATCAGGGAAAAGCGATTTTTCTTGCTTTGCATACTGTGTCTTTCCCCACACCGATAAGACTGGTTTTAGCATGTCAAGTAAATTAAAGGGGAAGAATGTCAGAGTAACAAAAATGCTTGATTTTCGAAAAGGGAGAAAGGCCTCGCTTTCATCAGCAGTCCCTTCACCGAATGTTAAATGAATGAAATAAAATAAAAATACAACATGCATGAAAGATGCGTTATCAGAATACAATCAAGATAATGACACCCGTAGGCACGTGGTGGATGTCTATTACATTGCACAAGTAAATACTGTGATACCCCAATCAGTGTTCACATCTTGTCAACAAGTCATTTGTGGGCATTGAATTTTAAATGAGTGACACACGACGGATTCCCGACACAACCACAGTCTTTTCTTCACTAACTCTCTTTGCTCTTAGCTCCTGCCCGTGCTCAGAGACACGAGATTCTCTCTGGAAAACACTTCTGTGTACTTTGATGCAAACGGCGATCCTCCCACTGGATATGATATAGTGACGTGGATTTGGAGGGGGACGGAGTGGTCCCTTCGGGTGGTGGGCTCCTTCCAGCCAGATCCCCTTCAGCTTACACTCGATGAGGAGGCCATCGAGTGGCACAGCACCGGGACGACGTCCAGATCAGTAAGCTTTAGCGTTGTGCCTTTTTGTTACTGGGGTGGTCAGGTACCCTCAAGAGAACATTTTCTGTGAAACAGTACCAAGCAGTTATCTTGGAGTTGAATGATTAACTCTGTGGGGCACTGACCTAACTCACAAACTTTTTACACCAAAACTACCACCTCCAATATTACTTGGCTGTGCAAGTGCCACCATAATGACCAACATTAAAATGCAATCGTGTCGTGGGCAAAGTGTTCAAGTTCGACGGCACCTAAACACACCTGGATGTATTCAAATACTTCCAAAAGGTTAGCTAAATACTCTAAAATCTACTGAAGTACGCCTTAAAAGTTACCCTAATACTCTTAGAGTTACAAAATACTCTGTAAGTTACCCAATTACTTGGGGTGTGCATCTCTCCAATACAGGACGATTTAATATTTACCCCGATACATGGGGTGCAATACGATCAAAGAACGGTGCATTTGGAAGTGGAACGATGAGCTTTGATTTGATTCGCACACATCTTTTATAGCCAAACCAATTTTCCAATTAGAATCGGGTTTTGTTAGACCGCTATTAATTACTCTTAAAAGCTATGAAATAATCACGAAACATCACGTAAATACTCCTCCATTTATGAACTGCTCCCCAAAAGTTACCTACTCTTAAAATCTAGACTAATATGTAAAACAATGCTCTTTTTCTTTATGAAAAATATTGTGGTGGTTGCCAGCGCAGTTGACTCGTGGTTAGCACATCGGTCCTCAGGACGAGATCATTCTGTGTTTGAATCGTCGTCGAAATGAACAAGCCCCTTCTGAAGGAGGAAACATGTATTTCAAAATATATTTGTTCGAGTTTTAAATTTTAAAAAAATGGATCAATCTGATCTGCAACGTATACAAGAAGAGGTAAAACAGACTTTCTGGCTTCCTGTGTCTTGTGTTGAGGTGCCGTTGTCCATTTGTTCTCCGCCATGCCCGAAGGGCCACCGGAAGTTGATGAGAGGGCAGCACACCTGCTGTTTCAACTGCCAGGCCTGTCCTGCTGGCAGCTTCCTCAACATAACTGGTATATATCTCAACGTCTGTTTTTTTAAATTACCAATTATCCAGTCCAGTGTGACGAGACAACCGTGAAGAAACCCACTGTTTTCTAACCACTGTTTTTATTTTATTTTGCGGGGAACCACAAATTACGACAGTAGCACTGCTATTTTTATATTGACCAGCAGGTCGCGCTAAACACTAACACAATGACCAGCAACCTATCCAACAGATGGGCCGATTCATTCATTCATAGATGAGGGGAGAAAAATACGCAAAAAAGTCTCATAGCTGTCACCCTGAGAAGGAAGTAGTATATCAAATGGATGAAAAGACCAAAAAATGATACCCACACTACAAATGAAAAATACGAACAATAATGCTTTTCTATTTTGGGTATGTACAATGTGACTTGAGCATTCCTAGATGAACCCAAACACACCCTAAAATTGAAATTACTCTTAAATGTACTCTGGTACTCCCTTAAAATTACCCAAATACTCGTAAATCTAATGAAATGAGCCCGATATGTTCCCTAAATATGCTTAAATCTGTTGAAATACTTAAGTTACTTAAATACTGCTACATTTATGAAATTTACGGAAATACTCGTCAATCTATGAAACACTCCTTAAATTCTTAAATCTATTGAAATATTCCCCATATAAATGCGACCTAAATCTACACGTGGACTCCCTAATTTAAGTTGTACTCTTAAAATGCATGAAATACACCCTGAAAGTTACCCAAATCCTTATAAGGGTACAGAAATACTCTCTAATTTGAAGATTTAATTCATAGCACTTGAGGGAGCCCGCATACCACCGGTGGTACTCATACCACACGTTGAGATTTAGTGACCGAAGAGATTGGGTGGGTCTGTCCATGACATCCATGACAGGAATCCTCGCTGACGTTAAATCTGCTCTTCCCAGAATCCACTCAGTGCCATCCGTGCCCACGCGAGCAGTGGGCTCCTGCTAGCAGCGAGCAGTGTCAGGATCGGAGGGTTCTGCTTCTGGCCTGGGACGCTCCCCTGGCTGTGGCGTTGCTTTTCTTCCTGGCTTGCTGCCTCCTCCTAACGTCCAGCTCGGCGGCCATCTTCCTGCGCCACCTCCACACTCCCGTGGCCAAGTCTGCCGGGGGACGCACCTGCCTGCTGATGCTGGCCGCCCTAACCGCCGCCGCCTTGAGCTCTCTGTGCCATTTCGGCCCCCCATCTCGCGTGTCCTGCATCCTCAAGCAGCCATTGTTCGCATTCAGCTTCAGCGTGTGTCTGGCCTGCATCACCATGCGCTCCCTTCAGCTGGTCTGCATTTTCAAGCTGGCCTCCAAGTTGCCGCCAGCCTACGACAAGTGGGCCAAAAAACAAGGGCCCGAGGTGACCATTTTCATCGTGTCGGCCATCACTTTGCTCATTTCCGTGACCCGCGTAGCCCTCGACTCACCTGAGCCGTCCCAGGATGTGGACTTCTACAAGGATAGGATTGTCCTGGAGTGCAGCAGCACCCTGTCGTTCGGTGCATGTGTAGAGCTGGCGTACATGTCGCTCCTCAGCGTGGTCTGCTTCTCCTTCAGCTACATGGGCAAAGACTTGCCGGCCAACTACAACGAGGCCAAGAGCGTCACCTTCAGTCTCATGGTCTACCTCTTCTCCTGGATCAGCTTCTTCACCGTCTACCTCATCAGCAGAGGTCCTTTCACCATGGCCGCGCACGTCTTTGCCATACTCTTCAGCGTCCTGGCCGTCCTGGGGGGCTACTTCCTGCCCAAAATGTACATCATCGTACTGAGGCCGCAAATGAACACCACCACTCATTTCCAGAACTGCATTCAGATATACACCATGAGCAAAGAGTGACCGCTAAGTGGGATTCTCTCGTATTTAGCTCACAAGGAGTGCTGGGATATAACAAACGGGTACAAAGTACAAATACTTTGTGACTGTACATGGATTAAAAAAAACAACGACTACTTTTTGGCCGAAAACAATAATTTCAGTTGGAATTGTGTTTTTAATACATATTTACAGCAACAATGTGAGTTAGCACAACAAAGCAGGTGAGATGATTGCTCCAAATCGTGTGTGTGTGTGTGTGTGTGTGTGTGTGTGTGTGTGTGTGTGTGTGTGTGTGTGTGTGTGTGTGTGTATAAAGAAAATAAAAAGTTGGCATATTCTGCCTGTGCCTGCGTGTGTTTTCTCTGGGTAGTCCGGTTTCCTAACACATTCCAAAAAAATGCGTGGAAGGTTAACTGATCGCTCAAAATTGAGGGTGTACCCACGCCTATTGCTCGCTGGGATGTTAAGGCGCCCACAAAAGGAAGAGCGGTACAATGGCCATTGAACTGAAGCAAATAATGTGGCAAAAACCTTCTTTTGAATCTGTGTGTGTGTGTGTGTGTGTGTGTGTGTGTGTATAAAGAAAATAAAAAGTTGGCATATTCTGCCTGTGCCTGCGTGTGTTTTCTCTGGGTAGTCCGGTTTCCTAACACATTCCAAAAAAATGCGTGGAAGGTTAACTGATCGCTCAAAATTGAGGGTGTACCCACGCCTATTGCTCGCTGGGATGTTAAGGCGCCCACAAAAGGAAGAGCGGTACAATGGCCATTGAACTGAAGCAAATAATGTGGCAAAAACCTTCTTTTGAATCAAACTTGTATGTCAAAGTACCACTGTACTATCCATCCATCCATCCATCCATTTTCTGATCTGCTGATCCGCACAAGAGTCGTGGGGCGTGCTGGAGACTATCCCAGCTGTCTTTGGGCAGTAGGCGGGCGACACCTTGAACTGGTCGCCAGCCAATCATGGGGCACACACAGATGAATGACCATTTGCGCTCACAATCACACCTAGGTACAATTTAAAAGTGTTCAATCAGGCTGCCATGCATGTTTTTGGAATGTGGGAGGAAACCGGAGTACCTGGAGAAAACCGGCGCAGGCACGTGGAGAACATGCAAACTCCACACAGGAAGGGGAGTCGAACCCTGGACCTCTCCACTGTGAGGTCAACGTGCTAACCACTGGACCAGACGTAACATCTTAAATATGTTCAACACCACTTCCAAATCATTTTTTTCCAAATTATTCTTTTATTATATATATTAGTTAATCAAACTAAGGCATTTTCTATTTTTGGGGAGTCAAAAACAAGCGGTATAGCTGCTAGAAACCAAACTGCAACATCTTTTCGAAGAGATCATTTAACACTTTGAATAAAGGCACAATTGGCCTGTCTTCTTTCTCTCTCTGTCTCTCTCATACACACACACACACACACGCACACACACACACACACACACACACACACACACACACACACGTACACACAATGCTGTTAGCCGGTGTTTGTGAGAGGAGATGAAAAGGTCCTTTGTGGCTGGGAGGTCAGCCCCATTGATGAGTAGACGTGTGAGTAGAGTCCAAGCGGGGCTTTCCCACAGTCTGCGCCGCGCTCACGACTTCGTGTGCTCGGTCAACAGGCAAAGTGTGCCTCCGATCAACAGGCGCCGCTTTTATTGGAGGCCACTAAAGTGCAGTTGGACACACTGGAGATCGACTTCTGCAGCTATTTTTTTTTTTTTTTTCCGGAGCAATTTGAAGAGCAGCTGCCAACATTACTGTTCCGGTAACATATGATCCTGTTTTGAAACTGTGAATCGAAACAAATATGATGAATCGACAAAACGCAGCTATTTCCGAATGCATCATTCATCCATTCATTCATTTAATTTCAGTAGGGCTTATTAAGCAGGGAACACACTGGGCTGGTCAGCAGCCAATCACAGCGCTTCATTCATCACATCAATTATCCAGGCAGTATTTTTCCCTGGTGGCCTCCTACATGCATTCAATTCAGCCTTTAATTGTTGAGAGACTCAGACTGGGATCTTCGACCTGTGTATGGGATAAGAGATAAGAGCAGTGGGCTGATAAATGGATGACAGCCTATCATTCTGTATCTAATTTAGATCCTTTATCTCCCCTGGCCAGCCCAGCGTCTACTCTGCCCCACCTTGGAGTTATTGATGTGTCTCTCATTGTTACTCTGGGCCAACGCCCTGTGTGGTCACATGAGCAGGTGATGTGTATCCAGAAGAAACACAAACATGGTTCCTTGCTCTTTGACAGGCCGAGAGAGCTGAGAGAGAGACGTCAAAGTACAGCGACAGCATGTTGGAGCTTCATTCCAAAATGGAATAAATAACAGTTTGTTGCTCCTAAAAAAATCGAGACACAACACCCCCATAATGGCAACAAAAATGTTTTAGACACTTCTAAATTTCCCACGTCAGCCATATTGGTTTAGACATTGGATTTTTAGAATGGGCAGATGGGACCTATGAAAGAATTAAAAATGTGTATGTAAAATATGTGTTAATTTTAGTCAGAATCGGTGTGCAATATTTCTGGGTAAAGTTTGGTTTTGCGCCGGTACCAACCTTGCCAGTATCACAGATACTTTTAATAATGAAGGTGGATTAAATTGCTGAGTGTATTTGTATTACTTTTATTGCTCTCAGAGTATGATTGCTCATTACTATCCAGATATTGATCGATCAGCCCACCAATTGTAATATACTTTTGTCTTAATTCAAATTGGATATGATTCATTCTGATTCACGAAATGAGTGAATCAGAAAATAAAATGTTAAATGAATGAGATTATTTTGAATCAATGAATCCTTGTTTTCGTGAAAAATAAGTTTACAAATTAAGACAAATTCAGATGGCCAATTATAGGGAAAAAAAAGGCCCAGTAAAATGATTGCAAATTTCTTGGCTGTTGAAAAAAAAAAAAACATTCTTGGTGGGTCGTAATAAAGAACGAAGACGGGCCACACTCGCACACACCTGGTGTAGTCACTGAATAAAAAAGTGGTGGTCCTAGTATCATGTAGCCATACTGTAATAATGTGCGTGTGTTTGTATGCATATACAAATAACAAAAAAAAAAAAAAAAATGAAGATTTGATCTCAACATTCTGTTTCAATGTGACTCTCTCCCTCTCTCTCCCTCTCTCTCCCTCTCTATATATATATATATACACACATCTTCATCCATCTATCCATTTTTTTAATCAGCTTATCCTCATGAGGGTCGCGAGCGTGCTGGAACCTATCTCAGCTGTTATCTGGCAATAGGCTTGGCAGCCAATCGCAGGGCACACATCGACGAACAACCTATCCGCACTCACAATCACACTTTGGGACAATTTGGAGTGATCAATTACCCTGCCGTGCATGTTTTTGGAATGTGGGAGGAAACCGGAATACCCGGAGAAAATCCAGGCGGGTAAGGGGAGAACATACAAACTCCACACAGGAAGGCCGGAATCGAACCCTGCACCTCTGCACAGTGAGGCCGAAGCCCTAACCACTCTGCCTGCGTATCATCCATTCATCCATCCATTTTCTAATCCGCTTATCCTCACAAGGGTCCTGTGTATCATCACAGAGCAAAATAGGATGCTCAAGTTACCTTGACAGACTTGCAAATCAACACTGCTGGAGTGTGGTCCTCAGTATGTGTGTGTGTGTGTGTGTGTGTGTGTGTGTGTGTGTGTGTGTGGGTGTGTGTGTGTTAGGTTACTATTTTCTCCAGCTTTTAAAAATGTTTTTCCATTGGAGGTTACATCATGTTATCTGTACAAACGGATGAAAAAAGAAAATCAGGAACTCCTGTTGATCATGTCAGAAAAAAAAAAGACAACACCTTTTTCGAGAGTCATAAATATAGAGGAAATGATTTTTTGGGGTAATGATTGTTTCATTTTATTGTTAATTGTCGTACAAAATGAGTTTTAAGAGCACAAATGTCATAGCAAAACCAGTAACGCATTCACACACGGACGTCACATGACTCCACATTCTATAATTTGGCATAGTTCATCCGACAATAAGAGAGAGAAATATTCTCAACATGGGCTGTCAGTACGACGCAATATGGCAGAGATACACTGTTACAATTGGGCAAGATATCAAAACTCCACTGGAGTAAACGAGTCAACAAAACCATCATCACGCCAAACCGGAGAAAAAAAAGGTTGAATGGTGAATCACAGTCAAAGCGAAGGTTTTCGAGACGAGTGAGAGGCTGCGGCGTCGACAACGTCTCCATCAATATGAGGAGACCTTGAGGCAGGAGCAGGGCTAGAAATGTACTTCCGACTCATTGAGGAGTGGCCCAACTCTTCTACCAGGGCCTCCACACTGCGCCGCCGTTGCTCTCCCGCAGCCTGGTGCCTCTGCTGGGCGAGCAGAGCGGAGAGGAGGCGGGGTCCCCTCGGTGCATCTCGGCCCGCAGCGAGGCCCCCGTGTTGCTGGGGCCCGCCGAGAGGAAGTGCAGCGAGTCCCTCCAGCAGTGAGAGTAGCCCCGGCTGAAATCGGCGCCGCTCGCGCCAGCGGCGGGCTGCAGCTGCTGCCTCAGGAAGCTGACGGTCATCTCCAGGATGTCGGCCTTCTCCAGTTTGGAGTTGGGCTCTTGCTTGTGGAACTCTTTCTCCAAGATGAGCTTGAGCTGCTCGATGCAGCTGTTGATGCGATCCCTTCGCATTTTCTCCACCACGGGCTTTCTCAACTAAAGAGGGGAAGAGAGGAGACGGGGAGGGTCAGCGGCCGCGCTGTAATGATGGTTGACCTCAGAGGGCCATCATGACTCAAGGTGTCGAATTCTGGCCACTGAAGCAAATTAAAGTACTCAATGTGTATTTCACGTGTCTTGCTAAACGGAGGCGTTCTTTCATTTTGGCAGAGTGTCCAAACTAAAAGTGCCATTTTTCTTCACTTTTAACAGATATTACAAACATCTTTTGACCAAGCCCCCTCTTAGCATTTATGAAGCATCCGTCGTAACCTGATTTCATGTTCTGTTTCACAACAATCAAATCCAGTGGAAATGGTGCTTATGTAATCCTATGATGAGCGTAATTTCCAAAGTTATCACATCGTCATAACGGCACTCTGAGGGAA